TGACCATATTCCCTACTACGGTTATTAAGTAGATTGGTAAAAACAGTGACAGCTGTTTGGTTTTCCATAGTACTTTGCTCAGTGGGACTGATTATTTGATTAATTAATTAATTGTGCCATCAAGTTGGTGCCAAATCCTAGTGACCACATAGATAGATTTTATCCATGATGATTTATCCCCAACCTGATCCTTTTGGTCTTCCAGCAATGCACCCATCACCATTGTAACTTTCCATCCACCTTGCCTCAGTGGGAGAGTAATCTGGAAAAAAACATAAATTATTAAACTGAAAAGGAATTTGGATAATCAGAACACAGGAAGGGAGGGAGGAAGGGAGGGATAGATGATAGATGAACTACCTCTTGTAGCAACTGGTTCTGAATCTATATATCATTCTTTCAGCTGCTGAAAGAATGCTTGAGGCAGGAGCAAATAGGGAGAAAGTTCAAGCAGAGGAAGTGCCATGGCAAGACAAGATCCTGAATGGAATGTACCATTGACAGATAGCTAAGGTGGCTGACACTGGAAATCCTACCACTGGCTGGAAAGGACTGGACTAAAAGATGGCACTGATCATAGCAACACAAGAACAGGCACTAAGCACCAGATCCATAGAAGCAGGGCTCTACCACACTATGAAGGACCCAAGGTGCAGATTGTGCAAAGAGGCTTCAGAGACAGTCCAATACGTAGTGGCAGGGTGTAAAATGCAGGCAGGAATAGCATACACTGAACGGCACAAGCAAGTAGTTGGCATTATGTACAGGAACATCTGCATAGTGTATGGACTAGACCCTCCCAGGACCAGATGGGAGATTCCACAGAACATTGTGGGGAATAACAGGGCTAAAATCCTGTGGGACTTCCAGATCCAGATGGACAGGCAGGTACTGGCGAATCATCCAGACATTGTAGTAGTAGATAAGGGCCAGAAGACAATGGTGATGATAGATGTAGCAGTGCCAAGTGATAACAGCATCAGGAAGGAGTATGAGAAACTGGAGAAGTATCAAGGCCTGAAGGAGGAACTAGAGAGGATGTGGAAAGTAAACACAAACAAATACAAGCTGTCTCTAGAGCAAATAACTAAGCTGCATGCTGCAAATGAGGCTACTTTTTTAATAATGCCTCTGACTCTTTCACTTCTTTGTAATTGGCATTAGATTACAGGGTTGTAACAATTAATTTGAAGTATACCTTCTAAAGTAAATGGTATTTACAATACATTTTTGACACTAATATATAGAGATTATATCACTATATCCCTGTCAAGAAAACATACATGATTACACTAATGGTTGCAATCAGAAATGACATAAAATGTATATGTAAATATTAAGGAAACTTGGAATCCCCTGTAAGAAGCTTATTAATTCTAATAACATTCATTTCATTTATCCAAAAATACTGAGATGGGGGGGGAAAAAACTGGGAATTTTGTCCAGTGTTTATTTCAAAACACTCTGATTTTCCCTTTAATCGTATTTCTCACTTTCTACACTTTGAACCACTATTTTCAATTCAAAAATACTTCACAACACTGATAAAAAAATGTAATTTTGAGACACAAATTTTAAAGGATAGGTGGTAGCACCTGGCCCACTTCATATAGGCTGGGAAGCTAAACAGAGCAACACTCTGCTTAGCTTATTACTTGACTGGGGACCATCAGGGACCACCAGGACTGTAGGATAGGCCACAATGTTAAAAAAAAAAAAAATAAAAATCCAAGAAGAAAGCAATGGCAAATTGCATCCATATTGTTGCCTAAAAAACTGCATAGGTATGTCCATGAAATCAGAAATTGATTTTGATTCCAAAGAGCTTTTACCTTTACACTGAGACCAAATATAATTTGTATATTGTGATAATCGAAATAATACATCTGTAAATGTACATTCAAATACATTTTTCATATTTTACAAATATGAGGTTAATAAAGTAATAGGATTAAATTTATCTATACATGAACACATGTGGAACTGGATTGAAAAGAAATTAATCTGGCCTGAAGACAGCCTAAAGCTTTTTGAGAAATATTCAAAGTTGCATTTGAATGTATATGGCTGCTTACAGACTTTCTTACATATGTTATCTGTGAAATGATTCCCAGATTTTTCCTTTCCTTTCCTTTCCTTTCCTTTCCTTTCCTTTCCTTTCCTTTCCTTGTCCTGTCTTCCTTCCTTCCTTCCTTCCTTCCTTCCTTCCTTCCTTCCTTCCTTCCTTCCTTCCTTCCTTCCTTCCTTCCTTCCTTCCTTCCTTCCTTCCTTCCTTCCTTCCTTCCTTCCTTCCTTCCTTCCTTCCTTCCTTCCTTCCTTCCTTCCTTCCTTCCTTCCTTCCTTCCTTCCTTCCTTCCTTCCTTCCTTCCTTCCTTCCTTCCTTCCTTCCTTCCTTCCTTCCTTCCTTCCTTCCTTCCTTCCTTCCTTCCTTCCTTCCTTCCTTCCTTCCTTCCTTCCTTCCTTCCTTCCTTCCTTCCTTCCTTCCTTCCTTCCTTCCTTCCTTCCTTCCTTCCTTCCTTCCTTCCTTCCTTCCTTCCTTCCTTCCTTCCTTCCTTCCTTCCTTCCTTCCTTCCTTCCTTCCTTCCTTCCTTCCTTCCTTCCTTCCTTCCTTCCTTCCTTCCTTCCTTCCTTCCTTCCTTCCTTCCTTCCTTCCTTTCTTTTCTTGTAAGGCATGGAGAATAAGGCATGCTAATGCCATATTACTCACACAGCAAGCTTCTTTCAGACTTTTTCAGAGATATATGGACTACCTAGGCCTTTAGCTTGATCTAGTATAATCATTTTTATCTTATTCAATCAATCATTTTGGGGTATTTGGATGACTAGATAGAACCTGTCTGCAACTTCATAAACCAAATGTGCTTTTCTCCAGGATTTGGCTGCAGTGGCTGAGAACAGTTGCATGAACCTAGGAAAAGATGAAGCTTCTTCAAGGAGCTGCAAATCAGGTGACACATGAATGCTCCAGCCCCTTATACCTCTATTTGAAAATACAGGGAATAATATTTGAAAACTCAGAACAATGTTGTGTTGGTTAAAAAGAAACCATTCTATCAGAAACTCACTTCATATTGTTTTTGTACGTTGATCAATAAATAACAGAGGGGAGGCAAATCTTATCCTTACCTACTTCATGACTCTGTTTTTGGACTAGCATGGGATCAGCCCTGTGAAAATAAATATTATTTATACATATAGATGGAATGACCTCTTTTGAGTTTTTTTTAATAATGTAAGAAACGATGATGATGATGATGATGATGATGATGATGATGATGATGAT